TTAATGCAGCACCTACGCATGGCTTGAAAGAACAGGGCAGACAATTGCCAGGAAATCTCCTAAGATATTTTAAAATTGATCCTGTTGCCACAGTAAACTGCCTGCTTGCATGATAATGTATCTTAGACAGAAACATGTAATGACATGAAGAACTCAAAGGGAGCCAAGATTCTTTACACTGCGTTTATGTAATGTTTTTTAACAACCATAAAAAAAAAAGAGAGAGAAATTAATCTCTGGATCCCCGAGCTGTTACAAGGTTCCCTCTGGGCCTCACAGCACTGATAATTTGGATTCTGAATAGTAGAAGAGCTTCTGTACTGGAGGTGTTTGTTATGAACTAGGGATTTTACATATGCTACAAAAATCTATCCTAGACTCTATATTTTGGTAGAATAAGATCAGAGCTGGGATAAAATAGAAGGGAGAATCAGTGTAGATGTCACAGAATTTTCTTGGAACGTCTCACTTCTTGGAGCCCTGGGAGACATGAACGGGCACCTAGCCACACCGCTGCCAGCTTTGCAAAGGGCCAATTTCTGTTGCTCTTTAGCAGTTAAAGCAAAGACTAAAGAAAAGGACACAGAGCAAGTAGAGGCACACAGGCCTTGGGAGAAATCACCACGAGTCAGCGCAAAGAGCCGGGGTTCAAGCTTCCGAGAGGAACAGCCACAGGAGATTCAGAAGGGGGCTGTGTTGCTGACTGCCAGGCCTCCACCCTGGTGGCCCCTCACTGTGGATCCAAATGTAGAGGAGGATCTTTATAATCCATTTGCAAAGATCTTTCCAAATCCACACCACTACAGCTCCTGACTATACATCCAGACCACAGGTCCAGAGCAGGCCCAGGTCCCCTCTCCAAAAAGGTCCAGAACAAGAGGGAAGCATTGTTTCTACACACATCAGGAAACAGGGATGACCAGATACCCAGATCCAGAGCTCCGGCCAGTAGTGACACAGGACAGCATGGATAAGAACAAGGGCCACTCGGATACGAGTGCACAGACTGACCGCCTGGTGCCACAGTTTCTCAAAAGGTTAAGTATTCATGCAGAACTTACTAGTTGGCGAGGCCTGGAGCATGTGAGGATATCCTAGAACACACCTCTGAGTTTCCTGGAAATACTGGGAAGAGAATTCATAAAAACAGAAAGGCCTTTTCATCAAATACATTGAGAAGTGAGGAAATAGGTCACCCCGACTGGTCCTGCTTGTGGATGAGATGCACCTGGTTTGTTTCCATGAACTGGTTAGGCCAGAATCCAGCTATCAGATACCTAAATGTGAATGTAAATGTGTAATATGTGAGTGTGTTTGTCTGTGTGTGTGTATGTGTGTGTGTATACATGTGTATATTTCAATATTCAGAGAATCCCTGAAAAGTACTGTTACATGGGTAACACACACAAATCCAGACAGGTTAAGCCATATATTAGGCACCTTCCTGTTGCTGGGACAAAATGTCTTACATACATAATTTAAATGAGAAGAAGTTGACTTGGGCTCCATGTTTCAAGACTCTCAGTCCGAAAAAAAATGGAAATAGAAAGAAGCAGTCAACGCTCTAATTAGCTTTGTCTCCTTTTTTTCAATTGTTTGTACTTTTTCTTTTCTTAATTTCTTATACATTGCTCCAGTTTTTTCTTCTTCCAATATCTGGTAATATGAATAGCTGGTTGTAAGACAATACCATGTATTACAACAAATACTGTGAAATTCATATTACTTTGTTAAGTAAAATTCTGTATGAGTTGTCAAAAAATAAATAAAAAAGGAAAAAAATTATTAAATAATAAAGAAGCTAAAATAGAGAGAAAAAAAAAAAAAGTCCACATCTGACTGACTCCAACACAGAAGTGTCATGGCGGAACGGCACAGGGGAGGAAAGCTGCTCCCATCATGGAAGCCATGAAGCAGAGAGCAAGGAGAGATCCAGAAAGGGGCGGAAGGAAAGGAGATGCCCTTCCACCGCACACTGCAGGGACCTGCTCCCGCCAGTGAGGCCCTACCTCCTTGTGGCCCCCTTCACTACAAGCTCGCCAATGGATCACTCCATGGGTGAGGTGAGTGTCTTCATGAACCAGTCAACATCGAGGGCGCACCCCTGACCCCTGCTGTCCTAGGGATCAGGCACTCAATGCACGGGCCTTTGGGAGGGGGGGCACTTCCTCTTTATGCTATGGTAGACCATTTACCCAAGTTCACACAGCTAGTGAATGATACTTCTAGTCTTAAATCCATATCCACTCAACTCCAAAGCCGAGAGCTGTGCCTAAAAATTCTAAGGCCTTGCTAACATAAATGTCAAAGACAGGCAAAAGTGGGCAGGAGAATTAATGTTTGTGTATTGATAATGTGGGTTCAACAATTACCAAGTTATGGCAATTTTATTTCTCTTCTCACCTACCTGTACACTGTCTTGAGGTAAATCCTAGCTAGTCTAACATCTCATCCATAGACATTTCAGCATGAGTCTCTAAAAGATAAAGACTGGAACTAACATTTCATTTCTTTCTTTTTTTTTTTTTTTTTTTTTTTTTTGTCTTACCTGAAAATAACCCCAATAAGTTAATTATTTAGGTCAATAAAGAAGCTCTGTTCTTGTCAAGAATGTCCCATACAGGGCTCTAAATTACTGTGAGAGGTTCCTTTAGAGACATCAATTTTATTATAGAGTGCTCTTCTCACTCAAATTCCCTTTCAGCGATACATACACATTTAGTTTTATATTATGCCCTGTGAAAAACATGCTGGAATATAGCTTCCTCTGTAAACATAGGGGAGGAACAAAAAATAAACCTCCAGTCATTAGGAACATCAGCCCATGAGTCAGAAAACAATGTGCTGAGTATTTACTCTCAATGTTTTAAACAGAACCTGTAGTGATCACAAAACAAATAGGCATTCAACAAACTTAAAGAGGCAGTTATATACACCAAACTGATACAGGAGACTGGATACATTCTGGGTCCTGAGCAGAGAAGGCTCTCTCTTCCAGGTTAACTGTCTAAGAGAGAATTAAATATAAGAAAACAAAGAACTAAGCTGGGACAGTGGTGCATACCTGTAATCCTAGCTAATTAAAGGGCCATGGCAGGAGGAATACAAGTTTGAGGTCAGCATTCTATCTCAAAATAAAATAAAAAGGGCTGAGGCTATAGCTCAGTATTTCCTGGATTTAATCCCTAAGAAAGAAAGGGAGAGAGCTGAGGAAAACAAAAGAAAAGAAGCAAAGAGAAAAAAGAAAAAAAAAATGAATTGCTTCAGTGCAACCAGCATACACAGAACAAGAAGAGAACAGAGTTACTGAGATCTCAAAGAAAGAAGTGAAATATTTGAGAAATGAGGGGCTGAGGCCCAAAAGTATGTTTCCAGAACCTTCTAGAAGCTAGTTTAGGGAAAAGAAGTTGAACTCCCTAAATCTAATCTATTGTGCTTTCCACCTTGGGAAGAACTGGAGATGCTTGAGCACTGATCCATTCATGCTGCGCAATAAGGTTTTACAGAAGTTGGTTTTATAAATGGGCCTTGACAGGTCACAGAGAATTATGACAAATGGAGGCTCATACCATGCTCTGGGCAGAGAAAACACCCCAGACAGGTTTGTGCGACTGTGACCAGTTTGGGCTGACCTGGAGGAATTACCACAAGGCAGTGAGGAGGAAATAAAGGCAGAAAGGTAGGTTGTGACTGGGTTAAAAAGGAACTCGTACCCAAGATCAAGCTGTAGGTAAAAAGGCTGTCGGCTGATAGAGATCCGTCTTTTCAAGCCAGGGTTTCACAGACAACGTTCTTGTGTTATTTTTGTCATTTTTATTTATTCTGATTTATTATACTTTTTATGGAGAATTCTTAGAAACAGAGCTTACGGTTTGGCTATAGAGGGGGTTGGGAGGGTGAATGATGACGGTAAGGAGCTACCTGGGGACAAGGTGAGGACAGCAGGCTGCATAGCTCCTATCTCTAAATGGGTGTCAAGACCACAGACAGAGCAACTCAGGCACACAATGCAACGAATGCAGACTCGAAGATACATATGTAGATGGTAGCACTTTGAAGATAATGGGAGTGATAGTGATTGAAATGTCTATAATTGGTGTAGTTAAAAGGGGCTGTGGAAGAGGCCTATCCCTTGAAGCTAGACAGCCCTGAAGTTCAAATTCAGGTTTCTTATTCATCAGCTCAGTAATCTTTTTTCTTTCTTTCTTTTTTTTTTTTTTTATCTTAGCATCTACAAGGTCTACAGGGTTTCATTACATAGATTGGACTTGAAGTGATTCTCCTGTTTACAGCCTCCCAAGTGCTGGGATTACAGGCTTGCACCACCATGCCCAGTCTCCATTGCTGTCTCAGTGCACCCTGTGGGTGGGGCCAGCACAGCAGGCCAGGGATCGAACCTTCCACCCCTGACCCCTGTGGCTGCCTAAGCAGGCACTTCAGTCTGCTGAGCTATTTGGCGGGCCCCCTGCTCAGTAATCTTGGAAAAGTGACTCAACTTCCTCAACTTGAAATACCACCTTTATACAACACAGAAAAATACACTCAAGGTGTAGAGAGGCCTGGGGACATGGTATGCAGAAACCCTTTGCTACAAAGTTCCTGGTACACAGTTGGTGTTTGTTTCTTTCCCTTTCCTAATGAAGTCAGTGCCAGATAAAAGGGAAATCAGTAACAACTACACACCCTGTAAGCTTCCATGTTCAACTTCCTTTATTAAAGCTTTTAGTACAGTATTAAGTAATAACAAAATAAATCTATTTTTTTCCTTCGCTATTTAATAAAACACATATTAATGAACAGAAAAGAGTCAGGTGTAAACTCTTACAGGGAATAAGAATGATTCTTACAACTCAGTAGGAAAACAGAAATATAATACCATGTTCAACTGGATATGAGTAGAGATAGCACTAAGGAAAGAATACAAAAGGTCAACAAATATATGTCTTGGTGCAGATTGAAACTGTCCCTCAAGATTCTCATGTGTTCAGTGTGGGACTTACGGAAAGTAAGTGGATCATGATGGCTGTCACCTCATCAATGGGTTTCACTGATGAGATTGTAATTTGGTGGCACTATTGGGAATAACAGAAATTTAGGAGGAGGGGGGAGCCTTATTAAAGGGACTGGATCATGGGGTGTGACCTTCAATACTACATGGAGTCATTGGACCATTGCTCTCTGTCTCTCTTTCTCTCAGTTTTTGTCAGTCATGAGGTGAGCACTTTCATCTGCCCCACCTTCCCATCACAATACTTTTGCCTCACCACAGACCAAAAGGCAATAGAGCCATGAATCATGGACAGAAACCTCAGAAAATATAAGCCAAAATAAACCTTTCCTCCTCTCTGTTGATTTTTCTCACAGCAAGCAAAAAGCTGGCTAACACATCATTCAAGGGGAGACACAAATCCAAACCTCACAAGGTGCCCCTTGGAGTTCACTGAGATGGCTATAGTCAAAGAGGGGCAGTAAGGGTGGAAAAGTCAAGAGTCTTTGCATATTCCTGACAAGAAAGTAAAATGGTACAGTCATTGTAAAAATCCATTTTGCATTTCCTCAAAATATTCAATGCATAGTTATAACAAGATATAGTATTCTATCTACAGGAACAAACACAAAAGGATTTAAAATATATGTTTATACAAAACGTTATGATGCTTAGACTGGAATTAGTCACAATGGCCAAAAAGTAAAAACAAACAACTCAAATGCCTAAAAACAGGTGAATGGATAAAAAAATATGATCTACTCAGTCAATGTACCATGAAAGTAAATTAAATATTAGTAACATGAATGACGCTTGACAATCTTATGCTAATTGAAGGAGTGAGACACAAGAGATCATACGCTATTTTATTCCACTTACATATAACATCCAGAAGAAGCAAATCTAGAGACAGTAGATTGGGGTTGCTGAGGGCTGAGGTTTAGGGCTAGGATAAATGGACAGAAAAGGACATGAAGTTTCTTTAAGGGGCATTCAAAAGGTTCTAAAAATCAATCACAGTGACAATTGTCAAATTCTGTGACTCTTAAAATCATTTAATTAAGCAGTATAAATTAATGAATTGTTTGGTTTGTGAGTTTTAGAGCAGCAAAGAAGTCAAAAGGAAGAAGGAAGGATGGCTCAATCCTGAGACATAACCGCCTGCTGCGTTTGACTGAGGTTGCAGGGCCTACGCTCAGCCTGCAGGGGAAGGCACCGAGCCACATCTCAGCACCCAGGAGGGGAACCAAGTGGGCCTTCTCAGCCATTCTTCTCTCAGGTAGAGAAGTAGCACAAGTACCTGGCCTTGGCATGGATGCTACTGTGGCGTGGTCTTGTGCTGCGGGCTCTGACAGAGGACCAATAGCTCACGCCTTAGGTGGCCTTGACCTAAGAGTGCACACTAGAGCCTGACACTTCTTATAGGCATTAATGCATCTAGTCCCAAACCAGCCTGCTTCTCACACACAAAGTTCAGAGTTTCACTCAAATGTCCCATTGATCATCAAACCCAAGAGTTTATGCCACATATAGACAGAAGGTCCCCTTTCCCAAATTGACTTAAGTTTTACTTTTCTTGCTTCAAAAGTTAATTTTCTCATGAATCTTAATTCCATGGTGTCAGATTCCTACTTTTTATAAGTATCCATAATACTTTTTAGAGGGGAAAAAAAGATAAATAAGAACATCGAAGACAAGGGCCAGGATAATGGCACACTGAAAATGAAGTTGTAATCGCTTCCTACACTTACTTCCACACTTAAGTCACCATTCATCTTGATGCAGACTGAAAGATCTGGTCCAGGGTTCGGAACACCCGTGAGGTCAGGGCACCTGTGAGTAGAAATTAATGATGCTTACTACCAGTGGAAAAGCTGAAAAATTTAGCAGACAGCTAGCTGTAGCACAGTTCCAACTCTCTCAACACTACTCTATGAAATGTTTAATAAAAGCCATAGCTTCCTTAAGACATAATGAAAGAGAACTCTCGCCTCCATCGGAGAAGGGTGACTAACAACGGAAAAGCCAGCCAAAAATGAAAATAAAGAATTTGCAATTCAAAGTCTTGCTTCCTCAACCTTCAGTACAGAAAGGAAATTTCACTGGGGCAGGGGGTGAGGGTGAGCAGAGATAGTTCTCACAAATTCCACTAACATTTCTGAATTCTGAGTTTTTCCTGAGGAAAATCAGTCTGTATACTTAAAAAGGCAGGTGAGTGCAAATGAGGGCTGAAAGAGGAGGAGGTATGGAGCTAGGAATGGGTTCTCAAAGGCCCGTTAACCTCATGGGTGAAAAGAACAGAAGTAGGAGCAAAATTCACCTAAATTACTTAGCAGTATGTATAATATGTGTCTCAAACATCACAGGTGGCTTAGTCTAGTCTTCTAAAATTTTAGAATAGGTACTATGAAGTTGAAAAGCAATGCCTTTATTTTTCTAAATTATAAATCTTCAGAAAGTTAGACAAGTGCCCCATACAAGCTTTATGACCTCAGGGCATGAAATCCTAACCAATTAAAATGTTCGCCCATGGAAAGAAGTGGTCTTGAAGAGTAGGTAGGGAAATTGTGCCCCTTGAACTTACCAGTGTTGTCTAGTCACATGCGGAGCACCATCCTCTATGTCTCCTTTCTGGGGCCTGTCACACAATGCATGGGTAGGGTGTGCTCCACATGAGAAAGATGTCAGTGCCAGCCCTGGAATCGCTGTGCAGCTCTCTAGACTCAAGGCATCTGCCATAGAACCAGAGGAAAGCAAACAAGAGTTAACTTCTGGTTCAGATCATATAAGAAGGAAATGCTTCCCTCCTCTTGAGAGATTCACTGAATCATTTCTGAAGAAGCAAAAGTCAAACCAGTTCTACTAACATTTTATCAAAACTCGCCTGGATGGCTAGTTCCATGCAGGTGGAAACAGTGAATGCTTTCTTTTCTTAAAGTGAAGGGTAGAACAGCACAGAAAACTTTTGTCTACTAAGCAATTCAAGAACCAAAAAATGTACAACCAGTAGGCAAAATTAAGTCAGATCCCTGTTTTTTGTAAATACAGTTTTATTGAAATACAGGCACACACAGCTGTTTACATATTGCCCACAGCTGCCTGTGTGCACCAGTATAAAACTCAGAAGCAACAGAAACTGTACAGACCACAAGGCCTAAGATACTTTTGGGCCCTTTACAGAACAACTTATAAGCTCTTAAGAAGAAAATTATTACACACTATGAGAACCCACTAACAAGTGGTCCAGGAAATAGGTTGGAATAACAAACCTTGTTGGGCAAAAACATCTTGGGCAGATTTCTGTTTTGGAAGCTGCAGAGCTTAAGAAAAACCAGACTTTGGAATCAATCACAGTGTTTTAGTTCAAATTCTGGCTCTAACATACACTAGTTGTGTTGTCTTGGATAAATAACTAAACTCCTCTGAATCTCAATTTCTTATATATAAAGGAATGCATGACATTGCTCAAGTGACTTATTCAATATTCCTGTTTCATATTTAAAGTGTTGAACCATTAGCACCCTTACTTCACAGAGATGGGGTGGGGATTGAATGATTTCATAGATGCATTAAACCATGGAATGTACTAGGAGTGTAGCAAACATTCTTTAGTTGCTGACATTGTTGGTGGTCATGAAATATCACGAGTAGAATCATCTCTCTATATTTTTTTTGGTGGTACCAGGGATCAAACTCAGGACCTTGCACTTGCCAGCCAAGCTCTTATTCTACTGAGCTATTCCCCAGCCCCAGAATAATCTCTAGGATGATCTAATCTATCATCCAACACAAAACTAGACACTCCACTAGAAATAGTAGCAGCTTCTCCACTAGCTGAAGTGATCCTCAAACTTTCTTGTTGTTACTTCTTAAATTTATCTTGATAATCATCCCTTTCTTTTGCTCTTTCCAAACCAACATCAACATTTTTCTCTTAAATGCATCCAGGTTGTGCTAAGAATCAACACAACTCAGCACTGCCTCAGAGAAAGTTCGTTTCCTTATCCTGGCATTCGGGAACAGGTCACAGTGGGATTCAGGCTTGCTTCTCTTTCTTCTCACATACTGTCTATGGTCTCTTAACCCAAATCCTCCTGCCCCCAAGATGACTTTGGCCTCCTTTGGTCTCACCCACTGGGGTACCTTCCTCTTCACTTTCACCATTCCAAATCTATCCCATCTGACCGTGCCTGGGTCAGCTCTCACTTCCCCTGGCTCCTTCCTTGAGCCAAGGGCCTTGTCTCCCACCAGTCTGCCTGAGAACTTATTTTATGGTGTCTTTTATTATGCATAATATGGGGTGGAGGGTAGTACAGATACATAGATTGATGGACTGAGTTCAGAAATACTCAAGTATTCAACAGCTCTTCCTATACAAATATAACTGCAATTATTTTGTTTATGTATTTAGTACAGGGTTACAGTGTCTCCCTACACAGATCAGACTCATAGTGCTCCTCCTGCTTTCAGCTTCCCAAGTGCTGGGATTATAGGCATGCACCACCACGCCCAGTCTCAGTTGCCCTCTCAGAGTGCCCTGGGGGCGAGGCTGGCATGGTCTGTGGTGCTGGGGATCAAACCTGGTCCCTGCATTCTATCTAAGCAGGCACATGAGTCCTCTGAGCTATCTGGCTGGCTCTAACTGCAGTTATTTTTTCTTTCTAAAACACCCTCACCCACTGTGTGAGCAGGTACAAGAGGTGGTTATCCATCCTTACCCAGCAGAGCTGTGTTCCAGAATGTGTGTTTCAAGACCAAATGTGTCTGATGAATTCTTGTTTCCTGATTCTCATGTAAGTTGCCACAGCAGTGTTTCTGAACAGAAAAAAAAAAAAAAAACAAGTACTATTAGCTCTTCAAAGGAATATAACATGATCTAATTCCTCAACCACTGTCTTCATCTTCTAAGATAGAAAGTATGTAAGTGGGCTCAAATGACCCCATGAAAGAGGTCGGGGAGAAAATAAATTATTTCAACCAAAATAATACTCATGCTTCTAATCAAAAGGTTTATTATATGAGTAAACAGTAACCACATCCACATCCCTAAATGAGTCAGTAGATACATTAAGAGTTAATAGAATTAAATGAATCCAGAGAGATTCCCACCAGAGTGGTCAGCAGTAGGGCATAGAATGTACTAGGCATGTAGCAAACATTCTTCAAGTGCTGACACCGTTGTTGGCCATGGTTATCACTGAAATATCCCAAACAAAATAACCTCTAGGGTGTCCTATTCGACTGTCCAACACAGAAAAGAACACTCCATTAATAGTGGCAGCAGTTTCTCCACTAGTTTAAAGGACCCTCAAATCACTTTCTTTTTTTTTTATTTCTTTTTTTAATTTTCACTTTCTTTTTATAACTTCTTACATTTATCTTGATAATCATCCCATTTCTTTTCTAAGAAATAGAATTCTTTCTTGCTTTTAGAATATTTAAAAACAGTCAATGGAATACTCTCGTTACCAGTCTCAAATAATTTCTATTTTGATATAAACGGAGACTTTATAGTGAGGAGCAACCCAAACTATATAATTGTTCATGTTATTGCAATCAAAAGCTTTAAAGTATTCTTAGGACTAGCTAGGATAGTATGTGAAAATTTTTTAAAATATCCATTGTTAGGCTGGGGATATAGGCTCAGCGGCACAGTACCTGTCTGGCAAGCATAAAGCCCTCTGTTCAATTCCCAGTACCAAAAATACATATATCTATTGCTTACCTGACAACAATCTTAAAGATAACCAGTATGTTTGCAGTTCTAAGGCTATTAACATGTAGTGGATTCAGATTTCTAGTCTGACACGGTGACTAACTCACAACTGGTACCTAAATAAGCTCACAGAGTCATACTTACCAATTTTTCTTGAAGAGGCTGTTGAATACCTTCTGTGGCGGACAGGGGATCCAGGTGAGAAAATCCCTCATCTAAAACATTCTGTCACGAGACAATGGTGGAGTGCATTGAAAAAATGAGGGCAGGACCAAAGCCACAAATCACACAGGAGACCACACAGAAGATGTGACATCCCTACAGCGGGCAAGAGCCCCCAGTTCTACTTGTAGGAAACACATTTGTAATGGTAAACTTTGCATTGGATTTTAGTCTAGTTATGAATGAAATAGAAAGATCAGGGGTGGGGAATTGGCTCAGTGGAATAAGCGCTTCCCGGGCAAGCGCAAGGGCTTGAGTTCAATCCCTGGTTCCACAAAAAAAAAAAAAAAGAAAAAAAAAGAAAAAGAAAAGAAAGAAAGAGAAATCCAAAGATCAGGACCAGGGAAGTGCATGGCTTTGTCAGTAAAATCTTTATACAGAAGCCAGAGAAACTAGTTGTTGACATAATTTGAAATGGTAAACTTGATGTCTATGAAGACTTTACCTTAATAAAAACTACCTTAATCCAAGAGGTATGTATCTGTCATTCGTTACAATAGAAAAATATTGTAGGTGTTCTTGGAAAGATTAATACTTCTTTAGACATGGAGGTTTATCCAGCTCAGTTTATTGTGAAGATTTTCTAGGTACTCTGCCTTCCTTCTTTTTGTTTCTGTAAAACTTTATTTGTTTAGCAGTGAGTCCATTCTCTTGCTTGAATTAGCAACAGAACTATGGGGCTGGATAATCCAGTACATCCCTCCTTTTAGAGGTGAAACTGATGCGCATGGCAGCTACATGGGGGATATGTCCAGGGTTGTTGGTGGTCAAGTCTTATGATTGCAAGCTTGAGTTCTTCTCCAGCTCTAGCTTCTAAACCACGTTCTCTTGCCCTCAACAACTGAAGTGACATACGTGACGCCATACACAGGATCTCCAAATGAGCTAGGTTGGGCTGTACAAGCCAGTCGCTGAAAGACATTGAGCAAATGGCCTGCCTGCCTTATTGAGTCAGTCAGTCTGTCTGTCTGTCTCTGTCTGTCTGTCTGTCTGTCTGTCTGTCTGTCTGTCTCTCTCTCTCTCTCTCTCTCT